ACTGGCATGTGTAATGGTAAATCCTTTCCAGAAGGTTTTCCATTTACTTTGCCCAGATCCATCAGAGGAATCACTATCTATGGCAGCTATAGCCTTACAAAATGTAGTTTTTTAAAAATAATAAGACATGAAAGTCAAAATTACTCCTTGATTCATGGGCTACAAAATGGATGTTATGTTAGTAGGCATGAAAACAACATTAATCTTGTTGTACATCTCCATGAGACCACTGGGGTGACCAGGTGCATTGTCAATGAGCAGTAATATTTTGAAAAGAATCTTTTTTTCTGAGCACTAGATCTCAACAGTGGCCTTTAAAATAGTCAGTAAACCATGTTGTAAGCAGATGTACTGTCATCCAGGCTTTGTTGTTCTATTTATAGAGCACAGGCAGAGGAGATTTAACATAATTCTTAAGGGCCCTAGCATTTTCAGAATAGCAAATAAGCATTGGCTTTAACTTAAAGTCACCAGCTGCATTAGCCCCTAACAAGAGAGTCAGCCTGTCCTTTGAATATTTGAAGCCAGGCATTGACTTCTCTCTAACTGTGAAAGTCCTAGAGGGCATCTTATAATATAAGGCTGTTTGTTTACATTGAAAAATCTGTTGTTTAGTGCAGCCACCTTCTTTAATTATCTTACCCAGACCTCCTGGATAACTTGCTGCAGCTTCTACATCAGCACTTACTGCTTCTCCTTACACTTTTATGTTATGGAGATGGCGTGTCTCCTTAAACAAACCTCTCCTAGCTTCAGACTTTTCTTCTGCAGCTTCCTCACCTCTCTCTGCTTTCACAGAATTGCAGAGAGTTAGGACCTTTCTCTGGATTAGGCTCTGGCTTAAGGGAAGGTTGTGGCTGGTTTGATCCTCTACCCAGGTCATAAAAACTTTCTCAGTATCAGCAATAAGGCTCTTTCACTGTCTTATCATTCATGGGTTCACTGGAATAGTACTTTTAATTTCCTTCAAGAACTTTTCCTTTGCATTCACAACTTCCCTAACTATTTGGCACAAAATGGCACAAAAGGCCTACCTTTTGGCCTGTCTTGGCTATCAACATGCCTTTCTCACTAAACTTAGTTATTTCTAGGTTTTTATTTAAAGTGACAGACATGTAACTCTTCCACTTGAACACCATGAAGCCTTTGTAGGGTTATCAATTGGCCTAATTTCAGTATTGTTGTGCCTCAGATACTAGGAAAGACTGGGGGGGGGGGGGGGGAGAGAGAGAGAGAGAGAGAGAGAGAGAGAGAGAGAGAGGGAGAGAGAGATGGGGAAATGGCTGATCAGTGGAGCAATCAGAATGCACGTAACATTTATCAATTAAGTTCACAATCTTATGGGCACTGTGCATGGCACACTCCCAAACAATTACAATAGTAACATCACAGATCACTGGTCACAGATCACCATAACAAATGTTATAATAATCAAAAAGTTTAAAATATTGCTAGGATTACCAAAACCTGACACAGAGACACAAAGTGAGCAAATGCTGTTGGAAAAAATGACGCTGATAGACTTGTTCAAGGCAGAGTTGTCACAAAGCTTCAATCTGTGAAAAACACAATATCTGCAGAGTACAACAAAGTGCAGCATGATAAAATGAGGTATGCCTATATGGAAGAAAGCACTTGGTACAGCGCTTAGCATACAATTTGTAAAAAATTCGTTTTTTAGTCAGTCCAAAGGTCATTCCTACGGGATGGCAGAACCACACGTATTAATCAAGTTGTCCTTTTAATCCACCCTCCACCTCTTCCCCCTCCACCTAAGGTCTTCTTCTACATCTTCTCCACCTGGAAAATGCTGTGCCATCCTTCAGAATCCTTCCCCCTCTCCCTGACACAGGTGGCCCTCCCCCACTCCCTCCTCCGTGTTTCCCAGCACTGGACACAGCACGCAGCAACTGCCATTGTAACTGTTTGCTCACCGATCTGTCTCCCTTACTAGACTTTGAACTCTTTAAGGGCAAGGATCCACACTTTAACTTTTTTGTTCACATTTATATCTCTGCACAGTGCCTAAGGGGAATACATGTTGAGAGAATAAATAGACGATCATCTCACTAGCAGAGTGAGCTTTCAGTCACTCTTGCGCTCCACTGCCCTTGCTCTTTCTACTGCACACAGTGTGTGCTGAGGCAAGAGCTTGCCACATGAGAGGGGCTGTTTCCTACATCCTGAGAGGGAAAAGGAGGTACAGACATCTCTTCAGCAAATCTAAAGGTGTTCATTAACTTTGTGGGTCACCCCAAATTGGAGTGAGAACTGGTCTATTTGTACAACCCAAAAAGAGCTGGATGTGGGCTCTAAATGAGCAGAATAGGGAAGGACAAGAGTAGGGTTCAGATGCAGCCTGGGGTCACATGCCACAGCGGCCATGGTGTCCTTTCCCTATGCCTTCTCTGAGGACCCTCAGTCTCACCCTCCACGAGGCAGCCATGAAGCGTTTGTAGGCTTCCAGGCCTTGCTTTGCCTCTTTGCCCTCAGGCTATGGACATCATCAGCCACCTGACCTTGGCCTGTCTGAGCAGACACTTAGGATGCTGGCTGCCGGGATTATGGCCAACGCACTACTGTTCATTTACCTGAGGTCACCACTGTCAAAGAACTCCAATTCCAGAATACTTTCTCCATTATAGCAGGAGGAAAACCAAGACCACATTCCTGACAATAAGCCCACAGCACTGCAGGACCCCTAGTGCCTTTTAAATCACCAAAAGCATTCATTGATTCCATAATGTGTACTTTACTAAATGTTAAGTCTTTAAAAATTGGTGATTTTTGTATAATATGGTATCGCACTGGCCCCAAATTTCTTAGCAAAACCTTCCATATTCTCTGCAAAATGATCCCACATGACCTTTCTGGGCTTGTCTCTTCCATGTACCCAATGACCTTCGGCTCCCAGTGCCCAGGCCCCTCCACACCTCAGGGAAGACCCGCTGTGGTTTTCAGCTGATTGTAGGTTCGTCTAGGACCTCTGCTCTAACAGTACCCTGCACGCGGAAAAACCTCAGCTTGGCCTTCCCACCCAGCTGGCAGTTCGGACTGTCAGCTCTAAAAGAAAGCAGAGCCTGGGAGAGAAAAGCCCATGGATCCTTTTTCACTTCAGTATTTTGAGCAACCCTGTATCCTGCACCACCACCCCTCCCCACCGCCACTACTGGCCGGTGGGAACCTTCTCTTCACCTCCTCTGTGGGAGGCAATTCGGGGATCTCACAGGCAGGCTGCAGTGTGGCCTGTGTACAGCTTCTCTCTTCCCTGACTCTACTCCGAAGAGACTCAGTCCCCTTATGCTCTGTTGATACTTGATTACGCAGTGAAAGGCATCATACACTGTTAAAATGGGCAGAGACCAGGGACAGGGGAGAGGGACGGAGTGAGTCCCTTGGCTCCTGGTGGAAGAAAAGAGCCCTCTAGTCAATGTCTCTCGTGCATCAGGGCTCGTCTCCCCGAGTCTCAAACAAACGCGTTCTCAGCCCTGCCCCACCCCCGACTCTGGAGTGTGCAGGGCAGATGTGGAGCTAGAACTGAGCTGTGCCCATTTGCTTCTGATGGAACAGGGTGGGGTGTCTCTGTGGGCCTCGCCATTGAGACATTCTTCATGGTGCTATTTTTATCAACAGTAATCATTAAATTGGTGTCAGATGGGCTGCTCCAGCTCCTCACCCCAAGGCTTAGTGATGGGACTCGGCGGGTTTTTTCCAGGCAAGAGGAGATGTGGCCCATATGAATGCATCTCTGCAACCCTAGGCCTCAGCGTGAACCCCTGCAGCCCTGGACCGTGTTACTGTGGCAATAACAGCAAGTCTCATCATCACTCCCAGTTCATTCTTGCCCTGATTCAATTAACAGACATATGTTGAGCACATTCTAAATGCCAGTCATGGTGACCAAGGAGTCACCAAAAAATATCTGCTCCCCCCTGCCCCGGAGAAATTTATATTTTCCCAGAAAGGATTGTCATGCAAAGTAATGGCGTCTCCTGGGCTGTGCATGTTACAGAGGCATCGACGGGTACGTAGTGGAGGGAGGATTTGTTCTGTCTGGGCCTCAGGGAACGCTCCATGGAGGTGTTCACACTCAGCCAGGGCTTCAATGATAAGTACAGTTAAATGGATGAAAACATGGGAAAAGGAACCAAGGGCAGAGGTATAAAAAATGACTCTGTAGATTCATTCGAAATTTAGCTATGAGCTCTGCTGTCACGCAGAGTCCCAGGCACGCACCTGCACTGACCCTCTCCCTGGATGGCGTGAGGAAGAGGGCCTCGTGGCAAGAATGCCAGCTGCTTCTTCCAAGGGCCCTGCCCCTCTGACTCTGGGTTTCAGAATTTGGCCCCTGAGCAGGACCCAGCAGCAAGGATTCGTCTGTCGTGACTATACTGTTACAAGATGCTGAAGTCAGGCAGGAACCAGGGACCCCCGCCACCGTCTGCTCATGGGTCTTGCAATTGAGACTCTAACTCCCGAGTAAGAGCCGAGGCCCTGCTAGCCAAAGGACACAGGGATGAGTCGTGATATGGAGACGACAAGCAGAATTGACTCGATTCTAAATCTTTCAGTCTGGATTATACTTCTTTTAACTAAATCCCTGGAAATTCAGGGTGAAATTTTACAGAAAACCAAAATGGGGCATAACAGGAAAACAGGGAGAAATATGGCATTGAACGATGGCAGAAAGTGCATTTGCAGATGTTCCTGGCAATCCAGGGCTTGGCACTCTGGTTTTCATTTCCTTTGAGCAGACATTCCAAATTCCACCCCCCAAAGTCACATGGATGCGCAGGCAGAACCCTGCAGGGTGCAGTGGGTGTCGCTGCAAGGAGCTCCTCTGTGGCTTGGCAGCCAGCTAGAAGAGCCTGGGGCCACCTGTCTGGTCAGGAGCCTCTTCCCTCGGAGCCGGGGCTGGCTTTGTGGTCTGACTAAAGTGACAGTGAAGTTAATGGGATCCTGATGTTGTGACTGAGGCCATGTCCCTGTGTCTCCAACAGGGATGAGAGAGGAGATGTCATTAGGACGCCAGGAGGCTTTTGAAATCTTCAAGAGGGACCATGCTGACAGCGTTACCATCGAAGACAACAAACAGATTCTGAAACAGAGGTAAGGCTGGCTCAGCAAGCAGCGGGTCCCCCAAGGCGTAGCCGGGCCAGCCTGGAGGAAACTTGCTTCTGTCCTCCTTAATGTGCCAACCCTAATTTCTAAAAGGAAGGCACAGCCTTTATTCAGTTTCACGTTGAATTCCATCCAGATTGGTACAGTTCTCTTTCAGATGTGTAAGCCTCATCATCCCAGTACTTCTGGGGAGCACCGTTAGGGCAGGGGCTATTACTGGCAGTGCTGACTTTGTATACACGCCTCACATCATGCATTCATTCTCATCAGCTTTTGGCCCTATCAATATCTTACTGTTCCAAAGGCAGGTAAAAAATCTATGGACAAAATTATAGCCCTAGAACTCCAGGGCCTCCAGCTGTTCTGAAGAGCAGTCCTGTGCTTCTTAGTCAGAGAAAGTTTACATATGCCCACCTTCTGACCCAGGGGCCTTAGGTACGTGCACTCTCCAGGCCGGAAGCAGAGCAGATGGCATCAACTGCTGACATGTTTCAGATAACCCATGAATTAGACACATACCCTCAAACTGTAACCAACAGGAAGACTGACGGACTTATGGTTCCAGAACCCGGAAGAGAGAGTGCTAGATTGGGAACCCTTAATGTGTCACTTGTGACTCTGGATCTTAGCACACAGTAAATTGCCAAAAACTATTTGTTGAATTGAAATGCGAATGACAGTCCATCATATGCATGTAAATGACAGTTCAAGGAAGCTTGAGAAGTAGATGAGCTCTCTCAGGAAATCATTTGGAAGTGCAAGGCTCTAGAGCAGCGGTTCTCAACCTGTGGGTCGCAACCCCTTTGGGGGTTGAACGACCCTTTCACAGGGGTCGCCTAAGACCATTGGAAAACAAAAAGATATTTACATTACGATTCATAACAGTAGCAGAATTACAGTTATAGAGTAGCAATGAAAATAATTTTATGGTTGGGGGTGACCACAACATGAGGAACTGTATTAAGGGGTCGCGGCATTAGGAAGGTTGAGAACCGCTGCTCTAGAGGATCGAACCATAAGGGAAAGCTTTAATGGAAAGGGAGAGGAAACGGAAGCCATGAATGGGGACCAAGAAGAAGCAAAGAGAGAATAAAGGGGAACCAGGAGAAATTAGTGTCCTGAAAGCCTAGAGGAGGGACGGCTCCGAGAAGAAGCATGTTGCCAGTGGTGTCAGATGCTACAAAGAAATAAGCAGGAGGCGCTGGAAAGTGCGCAGAGAGTTGGCAACTAAAAGACCAGGGTTTGGAGTGTTGTGAGTGAAGGAGTAAGTGAGAAGAAATTGAGCAAATAGAGAAAGAAAGCAAACAATGTGTTCAAAAGTTTGTGATAGATGAAAACCATCCTTAAAAAGAAAAAAGGGGGCAGGGAGGTAGCTTAAGGAGAAGGGAAGTTTGTTTCAGAAGAGGCGAGAATTGGCCGAGACTGAAGGCCGCAGAAGCAAGCCAGGGGCAAGAGAGAGATAGTGAAACAAGGAAAAGACTGACATGGCAAGGCTTTGGGGAGTCAAGTCAGGAGGGAATCAAAAGATCAGAGGAGCTGAGCCTGGAAGGAGGCTGAATAAAACAACAAAGCAGGATGGGGCTGACATCGATACATTCAGAAGTGGGGGGAGAAAATTAAAGATGATCTCTACTTTGTGAAAGTTGAGGCAGAACAAGAGATTTGAGGATGGTGATGAAGGTTTAATGCAGCTGGCCCGGGAATGGGGAAGAAGGCAGACCTGGAACAAAAGAGAATGGAAAGGCATTCAGCATGGAGGGCCCAACTTCGACTATTAACCAACAATGCTTATACTTGGGCGGGGGGCAGGGGTGGAGGGGCTTGGTGGGGATCTTAGATCACTTTAGGAGCACAGTGAAGGTGATAGGAGTGTAGCCAGGAGCGGCCGTCTGGAATGCAGTGCAGCCCTCCTTAGTTCAAAGAAGGATATGCACCCCCAGCGACCCAACAATTCCACTTCTGGGTATATCCCCCAAGAAGTCCTCACGGTTCGGAAGGAGACACATATGAGGATGCTCAGGGCAGCTCTGTTTGTGGCCAAGGAAAACTGGAAACCTTCTGGGTGTCCATTCCTGGGGAAGTAGAGAGGAGGCCTTCCATAGGTTGGCTGCAGCAGGTGGGAGCATGGATTAATGTACACACACTAGCACGGATAGCACTAAGAACACACAGTTTGTGTAAATTGTAAATATATGCACAGAAAATAAAAACAGCCAAACATAAAGATAAACTTTAGCATCCCTTAACCATAAAAAGAGTTACCTCTGTGCAGAAGCACAACAGGACCAAGACTCAGATTTTAATAAATACATGAATAAAACAAGGGGTGGGGGAGAAAATAAAGTAAATCTAGTGAAAAATGAGAACTCTCTCCCAAGAAAAATATACATATGCACAGCCACACAAATCCAGCAGTTTCACAAACCTTCTAATGCTTGACCGTGTTGTAAGCCACGTACAACGTCTGACAATTAAGTTCTCGAACTCATCCTAGAAAAAGTGCTACATACCTCATTGCTGAATATCACTACGGTCACCTTTGAAGTACTCTGCTTGGGAAGCTATGCACCGATGCCAGCGCCTAGTCCACCCTTCAAGCAATTTTGGAACTCTTTTTCTGAAATGGCCATCAGAGCTGTCATATTACCCTTGATGTCCTGAATGTCAGCAAAATGTCTCCTATCAATATTTCCTTTCTCTTCGGGTAAAGAAAGAAGTCATTGGGGGCCAGATCAGGTGAGTAGGGAGAGTGTTCCAATACAGTTATTTGTTAACTGGCTAAAAACTCCCTCACACAGACAGTGCCGTGTGAGCTGGTACATTGTCATGATGCAAGAGCCATGAATTGTTGGTGAAAAGTTCGGGTCGTCTAACTTTTTCATGCAGCCTTTTCAGCACTTCCAAATAGTCAACTTGGTTAACTGTTTGTCCAGTTGGTGCAAATTCATAATGAATAATCCCTCTGATATCAAAAAATGGTTAGCAACATCATTGCAACACGTTCGCGAACTTAATTGTCAGATCTCGTATATTCAGTATAGTTGGTTGTGTTGGAGCAGGATACCTTGTTTGTCTGAAGATAAGTATGTCGAACTACACAATAGCTGCCATATCTAATAAGGGTTTCCAAAGTGCCCTTTATCCCTGTATTACCTGTATCCCTACCTAAGGTTTCAGAGCTGACACCAGTGCCTCATAACCCTGGCTTCATATTAAAATGACCACGGAGCTTGTAAAAGCTACCAACACCTTGGGCTGACTCTGCAGATATTCTAACTTAATTAGATAGAGCCTGAGCTCCATTTGTTTAAAGATTCCAACATGCCACTAGGTTTGAAAACCTCTGGCTGGACAGTGTCCAGAGACCTTGAGATCCAGAAGCTCTGAGGTAGGATCTCAGGAACTCCACAGGTTAAACCGGTTGCCAAGTGATTCTTTTGCCCACTCAAGGTTAAGAACCACTGGCTGAGGAAGAATGAACTACTTCCTCATTCCTATTCTAGAATCAGCATGGTTCCTGGCTCTGATTTTTACCCTTGAGTTCAGGTCTGTTTCCAGCGAGGAGGTGGCGGGTTGGGGTGGTGGTCAGAGAGATGAGGGCGCTGTGGTCTTTCGAAGCCTTCTGATACAGAGCCTACTCAACTCTAGTACAGCAGAATTCTGACAACCTATGTGACAAATGTGCTTTGGGGTTTAAACACATCTTAATCAAGTAGGATGGGTTGGTAGTACTGGTGGTCCCATCTTCCCTGAGATCAGAGAGCAAGGGAATTAACGAAATTCACACAAAGCTTTCCTCTGAAAAGACATTTACCCAGCAGTAAATCAGTCTTTTTAAGCCGAGTGGAAAGTCAGGAGACCAGCCCACAATTAAAATATATATATAATATACATATATTTTTTTACATTTATTTAATGTTACTGTAATAAAAGCCATTAAGGGAATATTTGGTCCTTGCAGGTGTAACCTAGGACCTACCCCTTTCTCAAGATAGGAGCTTTTGTTTGCATTCTTGGTGCATATTCAATTGTTAGATGTGACATGCTCTTAACTGCTTAAGGTAGAGGACTAAGAGAAAATGTTTTCATATGAAAACAGGTAACTGTGAACTAGTGTTCCTACAGCAGACATCAAAACAAGGCCCCACAGATGCTTATAGGGGTGACCTCCATGCCACCCTTACTTTAGAAAACAGTCCACAGTAGCCCTGATCCCCCACATACACATTGTTCCCATTCCCGCTAGTGACCAGGAGCATCACGGGAGGACTGGCCAGTCAGTCCTGGGAATGCAGACATGCACCAGCAGGGTTTTACTCAAAAAGGCATTAAATGACCAGACTTCACTGACTCTGCCTCATCTCACCTTTCTCATGGTCCTCAGCAACCAGGACCCAGCAGCCTGACCTGCCATTTTATTCCTACTTCTCACATCAAATTACTTTGCCATCTGACGGTTCTAGTGTTGTGACATCACATTGGCAACATCCATGAAAGAAGGACTCAGGACTAATTGCCCCCACACCTGAGCCATGGGCCAGCTCAGCCTCTCCAGCCCATGGCCAGTAGGTTCTAAGCTCAAATGTAGGGAGTATTGGTGACCCAGGATCCCTTCTATAATAATTCCCTCAGGTCCCCAAGAGTGTAAGAATTGATTTAGAGTTGCAGGAGGGAACGGTCGATGGCTCTTACATCTGTGTTACATAGAAGGGTTTTCTTCCCTTTTGCCTGCACCCGTCATTCCCCTCACAGGGGATTCCTAGACCCTCCCAGCTCTGGCCCCAATCTGGGGAAAGTTCTGCTGCCTGCCTGTGACAACAGAAACGAGATGTCCGCACGTTAATAGGATGTTTGCCCTTCACTGAACTACAGCATGTGAGCCGATCCTTAAGCCGAATGTTTCAGTAGAAGACAATGGCAATTGAAAATCACCGCATTTTCTAGGCATGACTCACCCTCCTAGTGAATAATAAAATGAAGAGGGGCTG